GCACTGAAAGGGCGGCTGAGGGACCAAGACAATGCGTGGAGGCGCGGAGGTACGAAGGCTCAGGGCTGAGGCCTGACTTCATCCTAATTCAATACATTCCTGGATGGTCTGCCCTCCTCATTTACCTCATCCTGACCCTAAGGTGACTCATTTTTGAAAAGTGAGGCCTATAAAGGGACATTAGTGAGAATTCTGAGAGGTCTCCGGAGACCCATCTTTGTCCCTAACCTGCTCGGTAACCCTCATCTTCTAGGGAACTGCGGTGACACATGCTTTCCAAGCGTGGACCTCTCCTTTGGAGGAGTTGAATCCAGGGGAAGGAAAAGCCAGAATGGGCTTGAGAGAAGAAACGAGGAGTTAGGCTCAGTCGAGATCAGCTGTCCTTTATAACTGATACTAAAACAGAGGTGCCCAAAGACTCCTTGGCGAGGAGGCTCCCCCAGCCCAGGTGAGCCTCGGCTTCCACGCATGCTCCTGGGTGTGAGCGCATGTTCTCACGGGCATTCATCACCCATGAGTTATGAAGGCTGAAATTCTCTTCTACTGTGCAGAAACCAAAAGTATTCGTTTGGGGAGACGCTTGAGTTTTTCTGTGTTTTCTTGTTCCTGCCGGTCTTTTATGATTATTCTAAAACAGACTTCTTCAGGGAGTGTTAAAGGGTTTAAAAATCTGATAATGAAGCAATGTTGGAGAGACAGCTCCGTGGTTAAGAGCTCTTGCTGAACTTCCATGACTGCGGCTGGGTTCCCAGCACCCACATTGGTTCACGACTCAATCACAGGGGATCTGAGACCCTTTTCCGGCTTCCTTGGGCACCAGGTCCATGCGTGGCACACATAGACACGTGCCGGCAAAATACATGGTGGGACATGCCAACTCTGCACTACTTCAATCCCGTGATCCGGGAAGAGGCAGAGGGAATCTCTGTAAGTCTGAGGTCAGATCCTGCACCACCCTTGAAAGCAAACAGTATGGTGTGGATCCTCAAAAGGCTTAATGAAACTACCATGTAACCCAGGAATTCCATTTCTGGGTACGGTACATACTGAAAAAAGTTTAAATGAGGGGCTTGAGTAGAGACCTGTACACCATTACTGATTACTGAGTTATTAACAGTAGCTAAAACATGGACGCAACCCAAGTATCCTTTGGCAGACGAGTGAGCAGATGGGATGTGGCACACATAACTGTGTGATGGGACTTTAGAGAGACGGACATTCTGACCTAAGGTGCCTCGTGTGGTGAACCTTGAGAGCATTATGTAAGTAAAACAAATCAATCACGAAAGGACAAACAGTATGTGACTCTGCTCAAATGGGAACCTGAAGTAGTCGAAATCATATGGACAGAAAGCAGAGCGGTGGCTGGGAGGAAGAAAAAAGCCTGTTTACTGGAGGCAGCGTTTCGGTTTGGGAAATCAAGAGGTCTATAAATGGACAGTGACGGTGGCTGTGTGACAATACGAATCCATCTACACAGTCTGTGGTTTTTAAATGGTTAATGGAGCTATGGGGCTACAGTTCAGTGGTAGAGTGCTTGCCTAGAATCCACCAGTGAGGAGCTGGGGTGTGATTCATGGTAGAGCCCCTGCCTAGAGTCCCTCAGTGAGGGGCTAGGGTGTGGCTCAGTGGTAGAGCCCCTGCCTAAAATCCCCCAGTGAGGGGCTGGGGTGTAGCTCAGTGGTAGAGCCCCTGCCTAGAATCCCCCAGTGAGGGGCTGGAGTGTGGCTCAGTGGTAGAGCCCCTGCCTAGAATCCCCCAGTGAGGGGCTGGGGTGTGGCTCAGTGGTAGAGCCCCTGCCTAGAATCCCCCAGTGAGGGGCTGGGGTGTGGCTCAGTGGGAGAGCCCCTGCCTAGCATGTGTAACCCTGGACTTGATCACCAAGACATTTTAAAGATAAGTTTAAGATGGCAAATGTATTATGTGTCTCTTACCACCATTACAAAAGTAAAATTTACTAAAAGCAAACTATCAGGGTACTTACTTGGTTGTAACAATATGAGTTATGGCTGGAGAGATGGCTCAGAGGTTAAGAGCACTGGCTGTTCTTCCAGAGGCCCTGGGTTAAATTCGCAGCAACCGCATGGTGGCTCACAACCATCTGTAATAAGATCTGGTGGGTGCCCTCTTCTGGCCTGCAGGCATGCATGTGGGCAGGATGCTGTATATATAATAAATAAGTAAATCTTAAAAAAATTGTTTAGTAAATCATCCTGTATGTTTTCCTTGTGAAAAGATGATTAAATACAATGGAAATCTCTTTAATTGATGTAAAAATATTAACAATATGAGTTACATGTGAACTCTAGGAGTAGGGTAGCCTTCTGGGTGGCTGTTGATTACTTAGGACAGGTTCCCAGTGTATCTGTCATCCAAGAGCCTTGGTCTTGCAGGGTGGGAAGGGCAAGGCTCAGAAACACATTTGTGGTTACTATGTGAGGTGCCCAGGCCGTAGTCACCTATCGAGCCCTGCTCCTCTGCAAGAACATCCATATCCTAGTGTGTCTAGCCACACTCTTAAAGCCATTGACACCTGTTTACACTTTTAGCACACCTGTATATTTTGTGTGCACATCGTGGTGCATGTGCCGGGGTCAGAGGACAACCGTGTGAGTTATCAGACTCTTGGTGAGCACCCTTACCCAAGGAACTGTCTCCCCAGGCACCATTTGTAGTTGGTTGTTTTTTTACTCTTTTCAGGGACCCAGCTCCCAAATAAATCCCACACAGAGGCTTATTCTTTCTTATAAATGTCCGGCCTTAGCTTGCCTTGCTTCTAGCTAGCTTTCCTAACTTACCCCATCTCTCCTTCGCCTCTGGACTTGTACCTTTCTCTATTTCTGTATATCTTTCCTTTTCATTCCATGTTTGACTGGGTGGCTGGGTGGCTGGTCCCTGGCTCCTCTCCTGTTTTTCTCATTCCTTGATCCCCTTTTCTCTCTTTTCCTCCTTCTATTTATTCTCTCTGCCCACCAGAACCCTGCCTATCCTTTCCCCTGTACCGCTGTCTGGGGGCAACCTCCAGCAGCACAGGGCTTTGATAGGAATTCATGGACTCGGGGAAGCTAATCTTTTCTATCTGAGGGAGGTTAGGGAAAAGGCACTCACAAACTCTCTTGATGGTTTCCTTCCTTATTCTTCTCTTTAATTTTTCTCTCTGCACCTTCTCTCTCCTTTCTCCAGCTACTTTACATCCCTTATACCCAACAGACTCTTCCAGGCAGTACAAGAGTCAGAACAGTTGCATTCCATGTTTTAAGTGAACAATTATAAGTAAAAGTATGTTTTTTTAAAAATCTCCCTCACATGATTAAACATTTTATGTATTGCAGGTGTAAAACAACTTATCCCAGGAACCCACGCACATTCATACCAAAGCAACTTGTTATAGATTAACCGTGTGAGCAAACAAGGTGTTCTTGTCAGGTCTTTTACTGGCAGGGTACATTTTGCAGTTACAAAGAAAGGGCCAATTACTTTATTATGTATTTTGAGAGATAATCTTTTAAGAAATCACAAACCTAAACTTTTATACATGAGAAAGCTCTACATTAAATCTTTAGGGTACATAACCATTCAATAATAGTTTTTTACATCAGGAGATTGAGGGCATAAATGGGTATAAAAAGCTAATCATCTTTGGTCATCAACCAAACCTAGCAAGGAGAGTAGGTCAGCCAGTAATAATTGGGCTGCTTTGTTCTTGTTCCCTGACCTTAAAGAGTCCCACATCCAACTATGTGCCTTTCTACAACTTTAGATTGTTTTCTTGGGTTTTCCACCTCAAAGTTATTTAACAAAAACGACTTAGTCTAACTTGGTTATTGTCAAAATTTTGTTTCAGCTGTGATGAACTCTGAGGCCTGTGAATATTAAGGTTAAAAGAATTTAAACTAGGTGGGCTATTGGGACTCAATTGTTAGCCATTAAATTGAGCTACAATCCATGTAGCTCCTTAGGTGAGACTCACAGGC